CACTGGCCTTTATTGCTGTCTCTCACTTTGTTTTCTTGGTCGAATTGTTTTTAGAATTTCCTTTTAAAGAAATTCCCACCCTTCTTGGACACATTTTATTGTTAGAATTTCCTGCCATTGGACCTTACTTCATTCTCTTGAGTTTGTTAAAATTGGCTTTGGTTCCTTTGAAATCAAGAATTCCAGTAGAATATGGTCACTCTCACCCAGAGTTCCCCATAATGCCACTTCCTTCACCAAGTCATCTCTACTGGTTAGAATCAAGTCAAGGATAGCTAGCCCTCTAGTTTCTTTCTACAGTTTTTGTAAGAGAAAATTATCAGCCACACAAACCAGGAATTTATGGAAGGGCCATAGCTGGCAGAATTTGCCTCCCAACAGATAACAAGATAATTCAAATCTCCCATCTATACTACTTCATGTCTTTTTGAAATCCTTGTAATTTGTTTTCAGAAGTTTCATCCGCATCCTCTTCTTGATTGGGAGGTCAGTAGTAGACTCCAGCTGCCATGCTCCTTTTGTTTTTTGCCCTAATTATATTGATCCAGATGCTCTCAATGGGACAGCCAATCTTCTCCTCCTGTATTTCTGTGCAGGAATGTATATTTTTCACAGATACTGCAACTCCGCCTCCCTTTCTATTCTTTCTGTTCTTTTTGAACAAATTATATCCATAAATTGCTGTATTCTAATCATGGGAGTTGTTCCACCAAATTTTAGTTATTCTTATCAAGTCATATTTACTCTCCTGAACTAAGATTTCCAGTTCTTCTTGTTTGTTTCCCATACTCCTGGCATTTGTGTATAGACACCACAGATTGTGTGATATGGTGCCTGCTTTTCTTTGTACATTTATATTAGTATGATTATTACTGTTATTATTGACCCCCATTAGAAGTGTTCGGTCCATTCCTCTTATTGTACATAAAGCTTCATCTATCTGTACCCCTGTGCTTCTGTCTCCCTCTCCCTTCCAGTTCAGTTTAAAGTCCTCCTGATGAAGTTCTTCATGCTGTGGCCAAATACAGTGCTGCCCCGCTAGACGCTTACCCCGCTAAATGACAAAATCACTTGATGATGACTTATTTTGCAATCGCAATTGCGATCACAAAACGATGTTTCCTATGGGGGATTTTTGCTTTACGTTGATTAGGTCCTTGCTTCGTGAACCATTTGTTTGCAAAACGATGATTTTTCTGGCTCCGCAAAACGGCTTCCCTTCGCAAAATGGCTGGCTTTCCTTCGCAAAATGGCTGCTTTCGAGACAGAAGCTTCACAAAACAGCAATTTTAAACAGGCGGTTCTCTATGGGCGATGTTCGCTGGATGATGCGGTATTTCCCCATTGGAGCGCATTTCAGTGCATTCCAATGGTTTTTTTTCACGTGACAACGATTTTGCTATACAGCGATTTTAACATCATGCGAGGCACCACTGTACATTCTTCCCAGTCCTTGTGAAGTGCAAGCAGTCTCTTGCTAGCAGTCCATCTTCTAGGAAATTTAGCCCATAATCCCAAAAACCAAATCACTCATATTGATATCACCTTTGTAGCCAGTCTTTCACCTGGAGTATTTCCCTTTCCCTTTCTGTACTCTTCTGAGTATTAATAGAATGGATGTGAAAGCTATCTGGGCACCAAAGTCCTTAGGTTTTCTTCCCAGAGCTTCAAAGTATGATGGAATCTCTTTGAAATTGCTCTTGCCTGTGTTGTTTGTTCCCACGTGGATGAGTAGAAAGGGATATGTATGGGTTTTATGAGTGGTGTCAATCCTTTTGTCACATCCCTAATCTGTGCTCCAGGGAGACAGCATACCTTGTGGGTCCGTGGATCTTCCCGGCATACTTCAGTTTCCATCCCATGCAGTAGGGAGTCTCCTATTAAAACTACTCTTCTCATCTTCATTTTATAGGGTGTGGGTTCAGTACCTCTGCTTTTCAGTCCCTTTCATGTACTCCTGCATGGTCTGCTCTTTGACTTCATCTGCTTGCTGTCTTCCAGATTTGTCATCAGGAACCTGAAAGTGGTTTTGCATATCCACCAGTGAATATAGTCTTCTTCTTCTTTTGCTCCTAACTCTGGCTCTTTCCCATGGTGCTTCCTTCATTACCTTTTCTCTCTCCTTGGCATTCTCCTCCTCTGATTTCCCTTATTAATCTTCCCCCTCCATTGCCTCCACTGACTGCTGCTGCTCAAGAGATCTGTCAATTTATACTTCATCTTTCCTTATACAGTGGAGTCTCGACTTACGTTCGGCTCTACCTACGAACTCTTTGACCTACAGACTTCTTCAGCCACAAAGTTTCACTTCGACTTGCAGCCAGAGAATCGACCTACAGACCAGAAGGGTGAGGCGGGGAAAACGCCAAATTCAAATTTGGTGCTTTCCCCACCTCCCCCTTCCAGACCGTAGGCTGCAGGTCTAAGCCCCAAAAGCCCAAAGCTGACAGCGGGTGCAGGACGGCTTTCAGCTTCCAAAGCTGCATGAGGGGAGGCAGGAAAAGCCGAAATTCCAGTCCGTAGGCTGCAGGTCTAAGCCCGGAAAGCCCAAAGCTGACAGCGGGTGCAAGGCGGCTTTCAGCTTCCAAAGCTGCGTGAGGGGAGGCGGGGAAAGCCAAAAGCCGCTCTGCGCCCGGTTGGCTTTGAGCTTTCAGGGCTTAGAAAACTGGACCCACTGGCCTCTTTTCTCCTGTCCCCAGTGTGGGCACTGGGGACAGGAGACAAGTGGCCAGTGGGTCCAGTTTTCTAAGTCCTGAAAGCCCAAAGCCGACCAAGCACAGAGCAGCTTCCTGCCTCCCCTCACTCGGGTCTCGGCTTTGGAAGCTGAAAGCCGCTCTGCGCCCGCTGTTGGCTTTGGGCTTTCAGGGCTTATGTGTGTGTGTGTGGGGGGGGGGTTCTTGGGCTGGGTATGGATTAGTTGGTTTTCAATGCATTCCTACGGACTTTTCGACCTCACTGTAGCTTTAAGTGTGGCTACACATGCTCCAGTTGTCTCACTTTTTCTTCTAGCAATGCCACCAGTTTGCACTTGCTGTTTGCATGCACCAAAGGCAAACATTGCATAAGCTTTGCAGATCACCACAACTGAAGTGTCCCTTACCTCTGTAGTTCCTGGTAGCTTTTTGCTTTGATCTACGGTATTTGTCTGTGGATAACCTTTCTCTTTAATTTTTTACCTTGGATGTAGCTGGAAAAGTTCACTAATTTATAACTACCTGTTATAAATAACCCATATTTCCAGAAACCCCCCCCCNAAATTGTTAAGTGTTTCCCCCAGAAAACTCATGTTAGTTCTACCTGTTTGCTCGCTTTGGTCATGAGCTCCCGGGGTCTGCCTCAGCTTTATTCCTCAGTTGTGCTTTGTTAGGAATTAGCAATCAAAAATCAAAAGTTATGACTTACTACTCAAAGAAACAGTATTTCATCTGTCATATGACCATCGGGCCATCCTAGTCATAGATACTTGGAAGTGAACCTTATTAATTTCACTGAGCCTCTCCCCAGGTATGCATATGGGGTTGTAGCCTTAATCATCTGAATTAAAAAGAACAAATTTAATTAATTTAAATATATATGTATTTCATAAGCCTTCTCATATCAAAGGCAGTATAATATTAGTTGCTTTTTAAAAAAAAAACGTGCCACCTTCTGTTGGAAGGAAAGGCCATGTTTTATATTTTCTTCATCATAATATTAAAATGTTCTGTTCTATAATATTGTGCATTTTTAGCTTTACACTGAATATGGTTGATAAAAAAGACAAGAAAAGCCAAAGGGCCTATAGAAGATTCTCACTGAATACTTTTTAGTCTAACCTTAAAAGACAAAAAGTAAGCACCTTTCTTTTAGCTTGGCAATTAATCAAGTTCAGGCATAGTTGTTCTGACCTATAACTGTCCTAAAAATAACATTCAATTTCACATTAACATTTTCTCCCACTCACGCTGGTTTCTATGGAAATGGAAGCAGGGAAAAATCGTTTGTGTCTACTATAGCAAAGATCATTTTAAAATGAAAAGAAAAGGCACCTTAGATCCAATAAAGAAGGAACTATGCACCTACATTTTTTTCTTTGTGATTACTAAACAGCTTATTGAACTATCATGACAAAAAGGATTTAGCCTAACACACCGAGGGACCAATGCATGGCTAGCTCCTTTCAGGAAAACGTCATGTGACAAGTACTTATCTATTGAATTCATATATGACCATCAAACTAGCCTGACATGTTACTGCTTTGGGATGATAGAGTCCACCAGACATCTTTTTGCTAGGATGTAATAGGAATAGAATTAGGAAAGTAATTTGATTAGAAATGTGTATATTTGTAGTTTTGGATGACAACGTCTATAACTCTCCAGTGTTCGGTGTGGTCATACTGCCTGAGGATCTCTGAGAGTTGTAGTCCAAAAAACACAGATATCCCTCTTAGGATATGCAAATTTACTTTATTTACTTATTTGTAACTTAACATTTATATCCCACTAGTCCTGCATAAGCTCCTCTCCTCACCACTTTTTCCTCATAATATTCTTCTAATGTAAGTCAGACTGAGAGGATGTGAGCAGCTCAAGGTCTCTCAATATCCTGTTTTGCCAAAAATAAGACCTAACCTGAAAATAAACCCTAGTATGATTTTTCAAGATGCTCGTAATATAAGCCCTACCCCAAAATAAGCGCCAGTTAAGTGAAACCCCACCCTCCACCACTGTGCAGCAACCAGAAGAAGGTGACAAGACAATATTTGAATATATGTAGATTGTTGTACATGAAAAAAATAAAACATCCCCTGAAAATAAGCCCTAATTTTTGGAGCTAAAATTAATATAAGATCCTGTCTTATTTTCAGGGAAACATGGTAGCTGAAGAAAGTTTTTTATAATATTTTATAATGACTACTTTTCCTCCATTAAAATAGTAACACTTGTAGAATGCTTTTCATTTTGAGCCATAGTAATTACTGGAACTATATTTATTTGCCTATTTGTCTTTTGCAACAGGAGGAGGAAGATGAAGATCAGCCACTTAGCCTAGCCTGGCCTGACACCCCACGCAAACAGCTTACCTATCTGTTCATCTTCCCCATTGTTTTTCCTTTGTGGCTTACCTTGCCTGATGTCAGGAATCTAGTAAGTAAAACACCATATGCTTTATGTATGAATTCAGATGTTACAGGCACTTCCATTTCATTTAAAGAGCAGATGTTGCACATGTATTAAATTACTGGCTACCCGTTAATAAATTTGTGGTTTCTCAGCCCCCATTATTTTCCTAGTTAATAAAATGCTTGGCATGAGCACCATGGTAAATGACATTTAGTTTGAGCTGTTCGAGCTCTTGCCTACTGAGATTAGTTGTGAATTTATTGCCATTTATTTGTATAAATATTTAATGGCCACTTATAAAATATGGTATTAATCTTTCACGTTGATCCCCAGAGCTACTTCTTTAGATGTCTCTACTGGTACAGGTGGATAAGAAATATTTTTCCTTAGATTCCATAAGCACCCAACACGATGTGCATCTGTCAGTCAACAGAGGTTCCTGTGCTCATTTTGAGAATACTGTATGCATGTGGATTTCAATAAAATGAGTGTCTCAATCCTTTAAAAAAACCTTGTTTTTTTTAGTTCTTCATTTTTCTGTATAAATATAAATAACACCAGAACTTTAAGAATGCATGTTTTTTTAGCATAGCTCTAGTGTTCCTCTTACAACTCTAGGTTTTAGCAGGATATTTCATACTCTGCATAACACAGAATTAGTACAGGATTCAGTACAGCCAATGTTCAGCATTTTTAAGTCTCCAGATTTCAACCAATATCTGTGCTTAGCTGTTTAAGCACATAATCCTTGGCTAGGTCACACCCACAGTCTCTTCTGAAAAGCTGACAGATAACACATCAAGGATGAAAAGTGACCATGGGTATTTCTGGATAATACTTTCATTGTTCACTTGCCCTGTATCATTCTTTGTATTTTCTAAGAAATCTAGACAATATTGTCTTCTGTTTGTGACCCTCCCACCTTTCCCCCTTTTGTATTCCATCTGCTTTTTTCCCACAGCAAAAAAACAAAATGAAACAAAGCAAAAATCTGTTACGCACAAGATTCCTCGTTAGATACACTGCACCTGGAAGTATATTGTAAGCATAAGAAATATTTCCCCTTAAATTCTGCAAGCACTTAATGGGTTGTGTACAGGTCTTAAATTAAGGAGAAAAGTTTGTTAACTAAAGAAAAATAGACCTTGTAATAAGACTCAGGAGAAGAGAGAAAGTCAAACAGCTTTATATAATTAGATTTTTGTGAATATATTTTTCATCTTTAATATTTACAATTTTTTCATCCACAGAGCTTCCACAGAGAAACATTCACACCCAAGATGTATTTTTATGTCTCAGTAGCTGTATCACATTTTCCCATAGCATGCCTAGACTCAAAGTGAAACAAGGTTGTGTCCTTCCTGAGCTGCTGAATAACACTGAAAGATCAAAACCAAGTAGAAACATCCTATGCCACTACTGATTTTTCTTAAAGTGGTGCCCATCCAGTCCTTTGATGGGATGTTGCAGCCATAGGAAGGGCCGCAGCTTGGACTCCTGAGATGATATCAGACTTCCCAAATTGATGAGGGGCTCTGGAGACGTAGTCCCACATTGCTAAGTATATTGTCAGGAAACACCTCAATCATCTTGTGCTACAGTACTGAAGTTTCTCCTCATGTATGGATCCATCAGCAGCACATGTTTTTCAAAGGCTACTAGCATACTGGGGATTACCAATAATATCACACTTCTCTTCCCAGCATTATTCTCCTGATACTGACCTGAAGAAGAATAGGCTAGAAGTTGAAGCCTTTAAAAATACATGGGACCTACCCTGTCCACAAGATTGCTGACCAGAGTTGACCTAGCTTAGTTTAACTGACCCTATTGGTTTCCAAGAGCACCCAAGATCACAGCACAGCAGTAGGTCACTGGGCAACTCAGTGCCTGTGGGGCAGATAGGGAAATGGTTCTCTGAGCAAAGCAGCGTGAGTATGAACTGGTTAGGAAAAGTGACAAAATAATTATTTGGTGCCACTTAAGAGCAGTGAGGATCCTGCCCAAATTAAATAATAATAAAAATGAGGAAGAAGAGAAAGTCTACCTCTTTATCAACTAATAAAGAGTATTGCTGTTTAGTCGTTTTGTCATCTCCGACTCTTTGTGACTCTATGGACCAGAGCACGCCAGGCCCTCTTGTCTTCCACCGCTTCCCAGAATTGGGTCAAATTCATGTTGGTAGCTTTGATGACACTGTCCAATCATCTCATCCTCTGTCATCCCCTTCTCCTCTTGCCTTTACATTTTCCCAACATCAGGGTCTTTTCCAGGGAGTCTTCTCTTCTCATGAGATGGCCAAAGTATTGGAGCCTCAGCTTCAGGATCTGTCCTTCCAGTGAGCACTCAGGGTTGATTTCTTTCAAAATGGATAGATTTGTTCTCCTTGCAGTCCAGGGGACTCTCAAGAGTCTCCTCCAGCACCACAATTCAAAAGCATCAATTCTTCAGCTCTCACATCCATACATTGCTACTGGAAAAACCATAGCTTTGACTATGCAGCAAGGTGATGTCTCTGTTTTTAAGATGCTATCTAGGTTTTTCATCACATTCCTCCCAAGAAGCAGACGTCTTAATTTCATGGCTGCTGTCACCATCTGCAGTGATCATGGAGCCCAAGAAAGTAAAATCTAATGGTTGTTGTGGGTTTTTTGGGCTCTTTGGCCGTGTTCTGAAGGTTGTTCTTCCTAACGTTTCGCCAGTCTCTGTGGCTGGCATCTTCAGAGGACAGCACTCTGTGCTCTGGTATAGTTGGCTTTGGGAGTGCAGTATTTAAAACTGTGAGATAGGCTTTGTCTTTGTCTGTAGATGGGTGATTAGTGTGTATTGTTGTGGGTGTATTGTTGTGCTAAGGAGAAGAGATTATCTATTCCTGTGGTTGATGGGTGTCATTAGCTGGTCTTTTGTGTGTAGTGATCCCCTGTCCTTGTGGCTTTGACCTTTTGCACGCTGTATTTTTGAGATCTGGGAGCCAACTTTTGTTGAGTTTCAAACTTTCCTCTTTTTTGTTGAAGTTCTGCTGGTGCTTGTGGATTTCAATGGCTTCCCTGTGCAGTCTGACGTAGTGATTGCTGGCATTGTCAAGTATTTCAGTATTTTGAAATAGAATTTCATGTCCTGTTTGTTTTAGGGCATGTTCAGCTACTGCAGATTTTTCTGATTATTTTAGTCTGCAGTATCTCTCATGTTCTTTGATTCTGGTGTGGATGCTTCATTTTGTGGTTCCAA